CAAGGCAGCTGGGACGATAACTTCACCCGAATCGATACCAAGGCCCACAAATGGCACGGATACTGAGAGCTCTCCCACATCAAAAGATGATGTGGTGCTGCTGTCCTGTCGCTCCATTGCACATGCACACACACACACACCTGAGGCAGAACATTGATTGATAACCCGTGTCTCACCTTCCTATTTCGTGGCTTTTTTTTTTTTTTCTTTTTTTTTTTCTTATGAGACAGAGTCTTGCTTTGGTTGCTACACTAGGACTACAGAGTGAGTGTCCGTCACCAAGTTACGGTGGCTCAAGCCTAGCTCACAGCAACCTGCAACTCCTGTTGCAAGCACATCCATCCGCACATGCATGCCCTGCCCAAGTAGCCTGGGACTCAGCATGCGCTACCATGCCACCGGGCTAATTTTTTATATATTATATGTGGCCAAAATTATTTCTTTTCTATTTACTAGTACGAGACGGGTCTCGCTCTTGCTCAGGCCTGGTTTCTGAACTCCTGACCTCGGCATCCCCGCCCGCCTCGGCCTCCCAGAGCTAGATTACAAGCGTGAGCCACCGCGCCCGGCCTCCTATTTCTTCCTTTAAGTAACACAAGTGACCTGCATTCCAGCAAGGCCACTCAGTGAGAGACTATGACTCCCTTGCAGCATGCTGTGGCCAAGTGCCTGAGTTTTGGCCAGTGGCATGTGGCCCAAAGGATGTGGGAACATCTGGATCACATTTTTTTGCAGAGAAATCGCTTTCCTATTACTCCCTCTCTTTCCCCCTTCCACTGGCCGGATGGAGGAGGTGGCAGGGTGGACAGCTTTGAGCATGTGGTTTTCGGTCACAGGAATCGAGGAGCGACAAGAGAGAAGGGACTTGGGAACCGCCGCCTAGCGTGTCCGGCCATGGCGTAAGCGGAGTAGGGGTGGGTGAGCGTTTCACGATTTGCACACCAAGGGGGGCCTACTAGCCTACGCTACTCTAGCGAGAGGCTCTTCGGTAAGGGGTGCATGGCAGTGAACATGGAGCGCATGAAGAGGATCTATACGGAGGTCGCGCACGTGCGGAGCCATCCACGTAGTCTTTGTCAACTCTTGTGTTGGCGTCCGCGGAAACCATAGAATTCTGTCGTGTCTGAGTCACCGTAGTTTGCAATCTTTTGGTCATAACAGTATAACCTATATAGCTAACTAATACAGAAATTTGTGCTGAAAGTGAGATGCAACTTTAATGAAAACAATCTAAAAATTGTGACGGTGACTTAGCGCTTGGGCAGCGTGGCTGAGGAGCAGAGGCGAGGAGAGATGGAAAGCTGGCGGCCCTCGTTAGTCGGCCACTCTGCAAAGCTCCACGCTGCGGTAACCTGGAGACTCGGGGAGGGGCCGGGCAGGGGAGCCGCTTAGCGGGAAGGAGAGCTGGCAGGCTTAAGAATGGTGCCCAGAAGGATCTCTGGGCCCCCTGGGCACTCCTGTATGGAAGTGACTGGAAGCAGAGGGCTCAGGAGGCTTTTAAGTTTTTGACACAATCGGATAGCCCAAGAAGCCACAAGGCTGGCCTGTGCAAGCCTGCAGTTGCTCAATCTCTAGAGAAACCCCTGGGCCCCCAAACTCCAGCAAACATGCGCTGAGAGACTGTGCCCCCAGGAGGGCATTCTCGTCAGCACCCGCTGTAGAGGTGGGGCCCCACCGAGGATGACAAGGGTCAGGAAGAGACTCCCAGAGGACAGTGGACAGGGGCGGCCCCAGAGCAGGAAGGCGAGGAGCGTAAGCCAGGACAGGGCCCCCTCGCACCTCCTGCCCAGCGCGCGGGGACTGCCGTGGGTCCCCTGCTCTTCCTTTTTCCTAATGGCAGATTTTACTGTCGACCCCCTTCCTACCCCACCGTTGTATCCTGCAGGAGGAGTGTGAAGGGGGGCATAGATCATTATTTTTACAGGCCACTAGACCGGCACAACCACGTCTGGACCGGAGGAAGAGGGCGTGGGGCTCCGTGAGGCCCTGCGCTTAGAGCTGTGTGCAGGGCCTGGGTGGGACTTCGGCAGGCCTCCCTTAGGGATGAAAGGGGCGGCCTTGCAAAGATAACAGGAAAATACCTAATCCCACCATCTCCCCAGGAACAGTTAGAGATCTGTCCTGTGAGTTCTCTCACTCACAGGCACCTGCAGGAGTTCAGTCGGAAAGGATCTGAATAAAAGGGAAAGAGATGTCAACCTCTCTCTTTCAAAATTGTTTGTTGGGGATCTGCTTTTTTGCAGTCTAAAGAGTTGCTGATCGAGCAGCAGGGTGCGCGCTCTAGGCCTCGGCCACATCTGGAGGACAGAGTCACATCTCCTGCGATAATCCCTTTTCCAAGGAAAGGCAGGACGCTTGGACTTTGACATCCTCGCAGTGTTTGTCTACCTGCCGCCAAGAAGAAAGGAAGGAGCTGAGGCAGCAGTTCCTCGACTGCACCTGCCCGTCTACAACCCCCTTTAAAAAACCTCAATAGCTGGTTTTCCAGGAGCATTCTTCCTTTTCCACCTCCGTGCAGGTCCTCCCCCCCAACCCCCACTCCAGGGAAAAATAAATAAACCCCTTCTCTCTATCCTAGTCTTTGCTGTCTGCAGAAATCTTTCTCAAACCCGCCTGCACTAGCTCTCCGCCCTAATATCTGGTGGCCCTCAGGGGCCTAAAACTGAGTCACTTCTCTGCCTCCACACGGAGAGAAGTCACTTTGCTCCTCCCATGAGGGGACCGTCTCATCCTCTCATTTTTCTACCTCCGGATGGGAGCCACTTCAGTCTTCAAACTGCTCCGTCCTTTTGCAACCCCATAGGACACCCCTCTCGGTGCCTCCAGTATCATTCGGAATTCGCTGAGTCTCCTGGTCTCTGGAAACTCGGGGAACGGTCACAGGCGCAAGGTGGAGAGTGGTGGCTTTTGGTTTGACTGGTCAAGGGAAACCCAGCGCTGGGTCTACCACTCGGGAGGGTGGCATGCAGGGACACTTCCTAACCACTGTTTCCCAGGGAGAGCACTGCCCCCATCCGTCTTCACCCAGACCCAGGGGCGCCTGGCTATGGGGAAGACTTCAGGGTCAGGATCTGAGTCAGACGCCTGTTTTCTGGCCAGATCACTAGGTTTGGGTCTGACTCTGATTTCCAGGACGCCTGATGTCTCATCAGACCTTCAACAGTCATCTGAGCTGGGGACGCCCTCTTGGACTTCTCCCAACATGTGCCCATCCCTAAAAACATCCTTTTTCCTTCTCCTAGTTGTCATCATGGGCAACGGCCAATCCGCTCCACCTAAGGACTCCCCACTGGGCTGTCTCCTTTAGAATTTGAAAACTTTGGAACGCACTGACTGCTGCCCTAAAAGCTTAGTCTCCTGTTGGAATACGGCCTGGCCACACTGTAAGTTAGGTGACCAGGAGGTCTGGCCCGGGGAAGGGAGCTCTTAATAACAACACCGTCCTGCAGCATGATCTCTATTGTTGCCAACTTGGCAACAAATGGTCTGAAGTTCCCAATGTCCAGACCTTGTTTGAACTTGCTAAACATCCGCTTCTCCGGTCTACCTGTCACATGCTACTTCTTGCTTCTACTTCTCTAGCCTCTTCTTCTGTCCTAGACGAAGTTCCTCTCTCAGCTCCCCCTGTTCTCCCTGCATGCTGGCATCTCTTTCGTGTGCACGGCCACCTCCCCCCTTGACTCCAGGGCCTTCACTGCCCCCTGCTTCTCCCCTCCTTCCTCCCCTCTGCCTCCACCGTCTCACAGGAGCCCCTCCCTTCCCGTGCCTCTGCTCCAGCTGCAGAAGGCATTCTTGGAGCCGGTGTCCCTTATTCTGTGCCTGATCAGTCTCAGGCAGCAGCCACGCCGGCAGCTTCTCAGCTGGTCCCTCAGGGTTCCCTGCGCAGTTTGAATACCCCAGTCTTTCCTACGGCCTGCCCTGGAGAGAGATGCGTGGAATTTTCTCTGCTTGTACTGCGACCACCCAGGAGAGGGCTAAGGGTAGGCAGTCTAAGGGTAGGGAGTTGGAGGATGATCTCAACCGGAGGCAGCCAGAGGCTTGTGCCCTGGGCTCCGTGGGGGTCCCAGAAGGAGAGACCCAAATTGGGATTTACCAGTTACTGCTCACAGGGAGTGGCGGGACCCTCTGCGAGGCCCACACCCACTAACAAGCCGGCACCCGGGTTCCCCGCTTTCTCCTCAGGCCAGCACCGCGGGTGGAGGGAAGAGAGCAGAGCTTTGGGGACCCCAGCGCTCCTGGGTTTCACCATCAGTGCCTGAGTGTGACCTCAGGCAAGTCCTGTCACCTCTGGGTCTCAGTTTTCTTCATCTAAAAAGGAACTTTACAGGCAGGTCAGTGGGCAGGAGGTGAGGAAGCCTGGGCAAGGTGCCAGAGGAGGGGAGGCATGGAACGCATTAACCCTGTCCCTCCCAGCACTCCAGGGCCGTGGAGGTTACTGATTTATGGCTTCCCCTTCAAACTTCCTCATTGCAGTCCTCCCCTGATTTAAGCAGCAGATGAGTTTGATTTAAGCAGTAGATGAGTTTTCAGAGCTCTGGCAGAGTAGGAGCGGCATAGCCTGGAGGCCCAGGGAGGAGGTGACAGAGCCTGCGCTTACCTGAGAAGACCTTGCCCTGGCTGGTGAGCAGGGCCGCCCCCACGGGGAAGTGGCTGTAGGGGCAGTAGGCTAACTTCTTGGCCTCCTGGGAGGAGAGCAGCAGCTGCTTGATGTCCTCGGGGTCCAGGGTGCAGGCAGGACGCTTGGGGGCCATGTTGGTACCTGGTCCCTGGGGCAGCCGGCACGCAGGCACACCGGAGCAGTGTAAACAGGAGCTCCGAGGCAGTCTGTGTGACACATCCACAGTTGCTCCTCCCCCAGGGTGTGTCCGTGCAGTGAGGCCGCAGGCTGCCCCCCACCCCACCCCCGTGCACAGCTTTCAGGATGCTGGCAGGGCTAGGCTTGGGCCGGGAGCCTCCCGTGGTTTGGGTTAGACGGTGCCAGTGTGTGTGCCAGTGTGGAAGGCTGCGACAGAGTCCACTCTCTCCCTTAGTGGCCACTCACTGCTGACACACTGAGGGGTGAGTGGTGAAGGCCTGGTCAGTATGAGTGGGTCAGAGGGTGGGTGCCACTCCGCAGGGGCTGGCTGTAGACACATACTCCTTGAGAAAGAAGCTACTGGGTGAATCGATGTGATATTTCAGAGGCCAAGGCTCCAAGGGTTGACAGCCCTCAGTTTGAGGAATGACTTTTTCTCTCCTTCACTGAGGGAAGGAATGAGGCTGAAAGGGCAGGGCTGGTGCAGCCACTTGGCATCCTGAGTCAGGAGGTGTGAACAAGCTGCAATAAGACTGAGGAGCTTCTTTATTTTTCACTCGCCTTCCTTCCAAATTCTCTTCACCCCCAACCCCAAATTAAAAAGTATCTTAGCTGGAGGAAATGTTTGAGATTATCTTCTTAGGCCCCCTCATTTTTTTAATTGGCAAAAATGGACGTTGGGTTGGTGGTAAAAGACACAGGTTTGCATCCTGGCTCCATGTGACCTCCCTGAGCCGCAGCGTCCTCATCTCTCCAGTGGGGCTAGTGGTAATCCCCGTTCTAGTTCCCCCAGCTTTGGAGCTCTCTTTGGAGACCCTGGTTTGAATTCCAGTTCTGCTGTTTATTAGCCTTGTGACATTGGGAAGGTGACACCATCTCTCTAAGCCTTAGTTTCCTCATCTTTAAAATGGGTGCACTAACAATATCTCAACTTACAGAGTTGTGAGGATTGAATGAGCTAATGTATGTACAGCAGGGCACTGTACCTCTTTTCCCAGTTATAATTATACTTGGCCCCAAAACCTTTAGAATGGAGGGTCCGGTGACCTGACGATGTGAGCACCCTTTGTGACGCCATGCAAACTGGGTTATTGTCATTAAGTGATTTGACCAAGATCATGTAGGACAGAGCTGCAGCTAGAGTGGCCAGAGGCATCCAAAGGTTCCCAGACCCCTAGCAAGCGGGAGTGAATCAGCAGCTTCTCTGAGGGCTTGGCTGGGGGGTGGGGAAGTGACGGGGATAAGACCACCGGGGCTTGGGGACCCCATTTCTGAGGCTGTGGAAGGAGAGGAGGTGAAGGAATGAATGCTGCCTGAGCAGGAGCCGGAGATGAGGGCAGAAGGTAACTGCCTAGTCGGGGGACATTCAGCGATCTGGGAGTACAGCAAAGCAGGCTCCCACCTTAAAGCCTGATAGGCCTCATGCTTAAAAAGCCACGGAGTGGCTTGACATGAAAGCCACCCACGGCTGTAGAGGAAGATTGCAAAATGTCAGCCTGGGACACCAGGCTCCAATTCTTAAAAAACACCAGGTTGAGGCCGGGCACGGTGGCTCACGCCTGTAATACTAGCACTTTGGGAGGCCGAGGCAGGCGGATTGCTCGAGGTCAGGAGTTCGAAACCAGCCTGAGGAAGAGCGAGACCCCGTCTCTACTATAATAGAAAGAAAATTAATGGCCTATATATATATTAGTATATATATATATAGGAAAAGTTAGCCAGGCATGGTGGTGCATGCCTGTAGTCCCAGCTACTCGGAGGCTGAGGCAGCAGGATGGCTTGACCCGGGTCTGAGGTTGCTGTGAGCGAGTCTGATGCCACGGCAGTCACTCTAGCCTGGGCAACAAAGCAAGACTCTGTCTCAAAAAAAAAAACAAAACACCAGGTTGGGTTCCTTCCCTCCCCTTTTTCAGTAGAACACCTCAGCTAACGGGAAGGTCACCTCCCAATAAGAAGTGCTAATGTCTTTCTCCCTCAATCGAATGGGCTACAGCTGCTGAGTTCAGAGATACTGTCTGTACATACCTTACGGCGTAGTTGTGCTTAATAAGAGCTATGTGTTCCTGCTTTTATAGATAAAAGAGTAATTAGCTAATGGGTAAATGCCCAGGAATGGGATTGCTGGATCAAATGGTAGATCTACTTGTATCACTTTAAGGTATCTCCATATTGTTTCCACAGAGGTTGAACTAGTTTGCAGTCCCACCAGCAGTGTAGGAGTGTTCCTCTCTCTCCACATCCACGTCAGCATCTGTTGTTTTGGGACTTTTTGATAAAGGCCATTTGTATTGGAAATAAGTGATATCTCATTGTGGTTTTGATTTGCATTTCCCTGATGATTAGAGATGTTGAACATTTTTTCATATATTTGTAGCCATTATTCTGTTCTTTAGAAAGTTTCTGTTCATGTCCTTTGCTCACTTTTTGATAGTTGTTTGATTTTTCTTGCTGATTTTCATGAGTTCTAAGTAGATTCTAGTTATCAGCCCTTATCAGATGTGTAGGATGTGAAAATTTTCTCCCATTCTATAGGTTGTCTGTTTGCTTTCATGATTGTTTCTTTGGCTATGCAGAAGCTTTTTAGTTTGATCATGTCCCATGTATTTATTTTTGTTGCTGCTGTGATTGCCTTTGCATCTACCCAAAAGATCAAATGACACTCTACAAAGAAGACACCTGCACTTGAATGTTTATAGCAGCACAATTCACAATTGCAAAGCTGTGGAAACAACCCAAGTGCCCATCAATTCATGAGTGGATTAATAAAATGTGGTATTTGTATACCATGGAGTACTATTCAGCTCTAAGAAACAATGGTGATATAGCACATCTTATATTTTCCTGGATAGACCTGGAACCCATAATACTAAGTGAAGTATCCCAAGAATAGAAAAACAAGCACTACATATACTCACCAGCAAACTGGTATTAACTGATCAGCACCTAAGTGGACACACATAGAAACTACATTAATTGGGTATTGGGCAGGTGGGAGGGGGGAGGAGGGAGTGGGTATATGCATACATAATGAGTGAGATGTGCACTGTCTGGGGGATGGTCACACTTGAAGCTCAGATATGTAGGAGGAGGGGGGGCAAGGGCATTATTTGAAACTTTAAAATTTGTGCTCCCATAATATGCTGAAATAAGAAACAAGAATAATTAGCTAAGACATCTCGTGACTATTAGGGGAGAATTTGAAACTTCTACACATTGTAACTCCTGAGCTTTTCACATGGAATCATTATAATCTATAGCATGAAAAAGAGAATAAAAACAGGTGCTAGATTTCAGTCAGTACCACCTGGCTCACAGGAATGCTGGTGGCCCCCTGACTTCCCCACATCCTTTCAGCTTACTTTTGTGTCCGTGTCTTTGTCTCTCCTATCTCTTGCAGCACACACTACCCAAGGACCCGGTTATATTGGGGGCATCGCGAACCCCTAATAGGGAAGGTGAAGGGAGGGGAAATTGAGGCAGCATCTCATGTCCTGCATGCCAACATCTCTGAGCTTTGCAGCCCAGCATCTGTGTGTCCCAGACCTGGAGCTCTCAGCCACAAAGACACCAGTCAACACCCAACCGGGCCACTGTGGCACTGGGCAAAGTTTGCCTCCTCTCCCTTCCTTCTCCCTTCCGGATTCCCTCGCCCCTCCACGGCCCCTCAGAGAAGCAGCTTGTTCTTTTCTGCGGGGCGGAGGGCCCTGCTCCCAGAGGCACTTTCTTCCTGGATCTACACCTTTGGCATCTGGAGCCGTTTCCTGGATCTAAGAGAAAGCAAAGGATGTCTCAGGACAACGTGTGCCCACTCAACATGGGAATCGTTCTAAAGGTTTTGGGGTCATAATTATAACTGGGGAAAGGGTTATGGTGCCCCGCTGGCCTGCCAGGCCCATCAGAGACCTCAGCATGGAGTCCTATTCCTGTCCCCTGCCCTGTCTCACCCACCCCCCCCAGCCCTGACCAGGCCCGGCACTGGACTTCTGGACTCCTTGACTCCACTGTGACCGAAGAACTTGGATGACCTCCAGGGCTAATTATGACCCTTGGCACCTTCAAAGCTCCTTACCTGCACGTGCTCATAAACAGGGTCATTGCCAACCCAGCTGTAAGGAGCTTAGGAGCCAGTGGTGGCTCTAGGATTCCTGGCGGAAGGGGCTTCTAGATGGAGGGAGAAAGTGAGCTGGAAACTCTCTCAGAGCCAAGTTACAGATCAGTATATTAACAGCATTTTCTAAACATGCTTTGCATAAAATTAGGAAAAGTTAATTGCCCACTTAAAGAATAGAAATATCCAAGGAGTGTTTTGGGTGGTGCCAGAGATTATCAAGGACCAAAGCCCTCCCCAAGCCCCGCCCCCAGGCTCTCCCCCTGTAAGGGAACCACCCTTTGTGTTAGAGTCCAGGTAACATTCACTCACTTACTCATTCAACAAACAGTTGCTCATGAGAGTGGCTAACATTTATTTGGCTCTTTCCGTGTGCCAGGCTCAGTGCTAAAATTAAATGCATTGTTTGAATCATTTCATTTAATCCTCACCATAAGATAGATACTATCGTTGCCCATATTTTACTGAGGAGGACATTTGAGCTTATAGAGAACACAGTCTTAGAAATGGATCTCAAACCTGAGTTTGTTTGTCATCTGAATCCTGGACTCTCCCCACTGATTCCAGAACTCATGGGGAGGCCAGGTGCAGTGTCTCATGCCTATAATCCCAGCACTTTTGGAGACTGAGGCGGGAGAATTGCTTGAGGCTTGAGGTCAAGAGTGTGAGACCAGCCTGGGCAACATAGCAAGACCCCATGTCTACAAAAAATAGCTGGGTTTTGCACACCTGTAGTCCCAGCTACATGGGAGGCTCAGGCAGGAGGATTGAGTGCGCCCAGGAGTTCGAGGCTGCAGTGAGCTGTGACTGCACCACTGCATTCCAGCCTGGTCAACAGAGTGATACTCTGTCTCTGAAATAAATAAATAAATTAAATTAAAATAAAATAGAAAAACCAGAGCTCACGGGGAGCTGGTA